TGGCGGGCGGATGTGATTCAATGACTGTTTTTTTGCTGCTGGTATATTGCAAAAGAACAGCTGTCATAAAAGACATTTTTGTCCTCGTCCAAGAAATTTAATATTATTAAAACGTGGTGCATCTACGCCACTTTTCGTGAAATCGAATGGAAGCATATTGCGCAGCTACTGCATAAATTTGTGTCAGAAGGCTAATGCATGGTTCCAAGTTATGCCACGTTTCGTGAAATCGGCTGCAGGTAGTTAGAGATTAGTTTTTGTCTGTACCATCTTTCCAGAGAGTCCATTTGGCCACGTTGGACTGAGTTTTATAGAAATGGTTACACTGTGAATTTCTCTCTTATTTTTTATATAGCCACACAGGAGATGTTCAAGATCATGCAGACCTACGGGGAAGTGGTGTGCTGCCTAGGGAGCAGTGTCAACCTCCTCAACATGCCACTCTTTGCACAGGCAGATATCAGGTGACCAACAGCGGCATGAATATGCATCACGTATATCAATATGCATCACATACATGCAGCAACTGATCCATTTATATGAGAATCAGCTGTTCCTCATTAGAGATCTCTCATAAACCTGTTACTGTATGACCCACATTCTTAAGTTTTTTTTGGGGGGGGAAGTGCGCGAAGTGAAATCAAGCATATTTGGCTGATGATATCATAAAAGTGTTTGCTTTGTGGCAAGGAATTCAACTTTGAAATCCTTTAGCCATGTTAGCTGAAGAGAGTCAATATGCCTATTGACTGTGTAATTAAAAGGTTTGGCTTCAGAGTACTGAGGGGTCAAGTGGAACTATAGACCGATTGCATGGCCTAAGTAATGTGATCTCTAGTAGGTATCAAACATCAGCAAACAAGCATCCTCCAACAGCAAAGCGTGTCACAAGTGTCATTTCCCAAAAATAAAGCCGACGGCCAGTAAAGCACTCAGACTACTGATGTGCTGAGCATTATACCAACAATCGGCTTTCTTTTTGGTAAACAATACTTATTACACACTTTGCTATAGAAGATGTTTGATACCCAATACAGTTCATGTGACTTAGGTGGTGCAGTCGGACTATTGTGTAGTGCAATGAGGAATGGCTTGGAGTTAACCTTGTCTCAAGTTTAAAACAAAAGAAAAACAGTAATGAGCTTTGAAAAGGAAACTATACCATCCACAAGGGTTTACTGTGAGCAGTTTTACTGCGTTTTGTAATTCAATGTGCAAAATGAAGAGTTTTGAAGAGTTAAAACCTCGAAAAACTAACAGACGTAAATGCACAGAGGGGAGAAAAATATTAGAAGTAACTGGTTTACTGTGGAATTTTCCTCCAACACCTCGCACAGCCTTGGAGTGGAGCCGCTTTATCCCCATGTGTGTCTCCACCGGGACAAACCTGAGCAGCTCTCCTGCAGTAAGCCGTATTGGCACACCCCGGCCGGTCTTGGTAGCCTCCTTATCAGTCTGCCCTGCTCGCTGTCATTCTGGTGCAATCACAACTTCAGCCTCATTAGTCTCATACAAGAGGTAACTGTAAGCTGTGTGTCCTGTGCTCTGTGTTACACTCAACATTTATTTGCAGAAGTCATCGTTTTGAGCATTGTGCAGTGTTTGCCATTGATAGGGACCTCACAGTGATATGCACTTTTAATAAGTATGGTTTATTATTATTATTATTATGGAAATATTATTGATGGTTTCTATTTTATTTCTGTTGAGTTCTTTTGAAATTTCTTTCTTTTAAATTGGACCATATAAAACCGGAAAGTAGGTGGAAACCTAAAAGTTATAGAAGGTTCCAAGCAGTGCCCTGTGGTGTACCTGTTTACGTGGACAGGAAAAGTTTGCCATGCTCGATATTGGATGGACTACATAATTTGATCATGTGCTCTTTCAACGTGTTAAATTTCACATTCCTTCCCTTAGCATCATATTTATCATCATATTTAAGGGATCATCTCTATCAGATTAAAGTTCTGCAGGCAAAATGTTAAAGCAATAGTAAGATAATAAACATTTTAAAAATTTGAGGGCAGATAATTAATTCAAAAAAATAGATAACAGTTTCACCCAGTAACAGTGTCTAACATAGTCTTGAGAGACAGCCTTGGATATTGTCAGTGACGTAGCCGATATAATTTTGCCCTTCATCCCCCCATCCCTACCTGTTGTGAACAGAATGCCCTAATCCATGCTGTGTATTTTGTTTGGATGGATCCTTCCGTTATTCAGGCGAGGGGTTTGTGCACAGCCCTCAGTACTGTCTTCACCTTCCTGATGTTCGCCCTGCTGTCGCTGAGTGCAGTCCAGGTCCTCGCCTCCCTCGTCCTCCTGCCTCCTCCGCTGGCTGGCCGCCACGTCCTGTGGCTGGCGGTCATCATCGTTCCATCGCTCTCCATGTCGTTGTTCCACTCCCAGGTCAACCATCAGACCATGACCAGCGCGACGGGCAAGAACCTCAAGCACCGAGATTCCCAGGTTTGTCTGGGTCTGTGACTTTATGGCTAGTCTAAGCGCTGTCTTTGTCATTGTAGACAGAGAAGATATGAAGCTTTGGAATGGAAAGTTAGCAGTAAGTAGATACAAATCCAGCAACCAAACTAAGCCATTAGCATGGTGGTGCCAAGCTCACACACAGGCTGTACACATGCCCTTCAACCAGTTTGCACCTTGGGCCATGTAAACATTATCAGGTGATATGTTTACACGTGTATGTATGCATATCTTTTGGCATCAATTCAAATTGACATTTATCTGAACTTATAGGTATAAAGACTACATTTTCCAATGTTTTCCCAAGACGCCAGTTTGACTTTTTTTAATCAGGTTATTCAGCTATATGTGTTCTACTTTCTGGTTCGGTTTGCCATCACAAGTTTGATCACATTGCTGTGCCACGCCCTCACCCTCCATGCCTTTTGCCAGAAGACTGCTATGCCCACCGAGACTTGCCACCTCATCTTTGGAAACAGGTGAGTCGTCACTAAGCAACCATCACCAGGATACTAAATCTCCTTCTCAGGCATATTTTGCGGTGGTGAGCACCTCCAAGTTTAGGAAATGTTTCTTTCTTTTCTCATGGATGATTTTTTTACATTCAGTAAAATCTGACATTGCTTCAGTATTCAGTTGTTATTCAAAGGAAATTGTAGTTTAGAAAAGAATTTCTTGTGATGCCAAAGTTTTGCCTTTTAAGAGAAATCTAAGATTAATACACTGTATTCCTTTTATATCAACCCTAACAGTCCTCAATTCTATATTTATGAAAGGATTGAGGACTCTTGTGGTAAAGATAAAATGATTCACTCTTGTTACTAGAAATCCGTAGTTCCTTTTTCTCTCCCAATTAACCAATAAACTTGATAATGACCAATAAACCTGACAAAGACAGATGTCCTCAAGTTAATCCACATCTCAGTCGAGGCGTCCCAAAAAGAATCTTCATTTATATGTAGAAGGAAACTAGGTCCATGGAAAATTTTCAATGTTCCATTTCATGGGTGCCAATTTGCTGAAACATATTGTGTTACAAATTTTCTCACTTGGTAAAATTGACAATAAACCCTTCGCTGAGAATAAAGGTCACCAGACATTTGAGCCGGTAGTAAGAGTTACCAGGAAAAAAATGTATTTTGCACAGAGCGCTTAGCAGATTGATAAAATGACCCCAGAACTGAAGGTCATCTTTCCCTTCTGCTCTTCAGAAACTCCTCATCTCCTTGGAATGGACTGAGGGCTGAGCATTCTTCCCAGCTGGTACTTGCCCAGAACTTGCAGGCATCACTGCTTGTACTGTACTTCAGTAAGCATTTTTCTTCAAGAATATGGTCTAAGATCATATGATTTAGGAGAATTCAAAGAAAGTGATTTTTGGAGGGCCTAAGTGATTTTTTCAGGTGGTGGATGTGGATTACAGTTGGGGAAATGCAGTTAGGAAATGTTTTCTGATGTTTCTCACCTTTTGATGTTTCTGTCTGAAAAATTGGAATTTCCCAAGTGTTTCAAATAATGATAATTTCTCCATTGTAGCTGCTTACATAAAGTGATCTTGGTAAAATTCCTTTTTTTGTTGGTGAGGGTTGGAGAACTTTCAAAGAAATTAAGTTTGCTCATGAAAGTGGACTTGTTTGATGTTCCACAAATGCCTGTAGCAAAGTTGTATGATTTTTGCAATCATAAAAGATTTACACCTGAACTAATGTTAAATTTCCTGTTTTATTTTTCTCAGTCATCACGTCAATCAGTTATGTGCACAATCTGAAACCCTTGTGGAGGAAGCATCCATTTACTAATGGCATGTGGTGTGCCGTGGTACTGGTCCTGTGAGTAGAAGAGTGTTCAGTTACAGAGTATCAAAGTGCGACGTCACTTTGAACCAGAAAAAGCATTGCAAACGAATGCAGTGCAGGCGCGTGTTGGTTCACACGCTGGTTCTCTCATTAATACCTTGTGCTCGCATAATTGTGATTGTGACGTATTCACTTTGGTACTCCATATAGCAGCACTACTCGCATGTGATTTTTGGGGAAGAAAGGGGTTTGGGTCAATTTTAGTAAAGGGTGGAAGGACTTACAAACAGAGAAAGCAGGTTGAAGTGAAATTTAGGACAGGATAAAACAACTACTTCAGTTTAGGCTATCACAGTAGCAATATCTTTTAATCTTTAGGCTAATCTATAAGTTGGGTCTGCACCTCAGCATTCCATGAATTGTTTGATATTGCAGCCTAATTAATTAAACGTGAGATTGTTTTGGGTTTTTTTGGGGGGAGGGTAGTTTGTTTTTTTCTTTAGTGAATTTGTTAAACGTAGTTTGTTCATCTTTATACAAATGAAAAATATAATCGCCCGTATAAAATGTAATGGTTTTGCAAATGAAGTAAAGATCAATTTTAAGCCATTCATCTGTATTTTTATGACAATCATTTCTCTGGAATAGGGCTTTCAAAATAAAGGTTGATCCACTGATAAAATCTCAAATGAAAGTTTGGAAAATGAAGACAGTTTGAGTCAAGTCACACAGGAACCACAAATATGTATGCATAGAGCCATAACGTTCAGAATTATGATCACACTCTGAACTTGTGTTTTTTTTTACCCCACAAAAGACTTGCGCTCCAGATTATCTATTTTGTTTTGGACGTGAGGCTGTGGACAGCAGATGCAGCCAGTGGTCAAGCGGCCACTCTCTCTGATGTACCCTTGGCAGTCTGGTTGGTAGCATTGCTCTGGCCCCTGGTCATTCTGGTGTTGAACGAGGCAGTCAAGCTCATTGAAATCAGGTAGGTCGAATGCAGACTTCATCTCCATACTTCCGTAGTTCCATGAGATACAAGTCAACCATTTTAATGTGATACCTGAATGTTAACTTGTTGAATGATGATTTGCATTTTATTTGTAACTCTTTTTCTTTTAGAGTATTTGTCAAATGGCAGAGGCGGACACAACTTCAGTTTGGCACCAAGCTGGGGATGAACTCTCCATTTTAAGCAGGCACATTGGAGATACCCGTATGCACTGGTCTGAACATTCAGGCCGTTGGGGCCTAATGTCACTTGACTGCTTTGCAGGAAATAAAAACAGGTCTGCTTGGCAAAAATAGAGTACCGAAGCGTGACGTCACTGTGAACCAGAAAGTGCAGTGCAAACGAATGGAGTACGCGCGTGTAGGTTCAAGCGCTGGTTCTTGCGCTAATGCCTTTTACACACTAATGGTGCACGTGAGGTATTCACTTTGGTACTCTATAGAGCCTGAAAGTTGATCATTGATGGCAGGTTTCTTGAGCTCCTGAATAGGAAAAATAGTGCGCACCATTTCTTGTTTTGAAATTATTTTCTGGTCATTTACACTTCCCCCGAAAAAATCTTTGTGAAATATTTACAAGCATATTCATTGATATCACATCGTGCTTAAAATTAACCTTGTTGGGATGGCTTCAGTTAGAAATCATTCTTCCATGAATTAAAGAACATGATAGGGCAGTCCAATGTGAATCTCCAAAGGTGGGCTGCATGAGGGTTCTAGAAGCTTGCCCTGTAACCTTTTCACTTTCAGTATCTACCGAGCCAAGTACTGGTCGGAGGCACACGACAGTACGACAACTCGACTGGTATTAAAGCTAGCTGCGTATATTTGGTGGTTAGTTTTTTCCCATGCCCAAGCAGATTCTTGTGCTGTTCATTCCACAGTGGTGTCTCCAAAACTGATTGCTGTATCCTTTCCCTTTGCACCACTGATATTCTTCAAGTCATATTTGTCCAAAGTCAAATGTAATATTTGTATACCACCTGACTTTGCAAGCATCCAGCTGGAGAGGTGACTTCTTTGACGTACATGTATACAGTTTGCACGCACTGAATGTTTGTGTAAACAGTACTTTTTTCCCTACAGTGCTATAGAAGAAATCATATGTAAATTTTGATGGTTAGAAGTATTCTATATTTGAGCTATTGGATGCATGAACACTCTACCTGTCGTGAAATGTTTAATAAAAAAAGCTTTGCAGTGTGATGATTCTGAGAATCAACAGCAGGCTCATAGTGATTAGAACAAAAAAAGACAAATAGTAGAAAACTTCAGGACTGATAAGCAGAGTGGAAACTGCTTCAGAAAGGTCTGGTTTGTCAGCACATCAGTAATTGAAAAAAAAAATTAAAAGGTTCATCATGAGATGGTAGTTTTTTCAAAGACCATTTTTGTGTTCTGTATAAGTTTGACCTGTGATTGTACATGCAGTGTTGTTGCACATAGCAACTTTGTTGATATTCCCACTAGTAGTAATTTAATGTGCACTGCATTATTCAGTGGAGTCTGTGTTGTACAAAGCGCTGGAATATAAACAGGCAAGGAAAGGAAGCAAAGATCTGTGTGTTTTGAAAGAAAATTTATTTTAGTACAGAAAACTGTATATGTGCTTATGGATCAGAAATATGTTTTACAAATGTGTAAATCTGCCAATTATTCAACAAGTGTTTCTGTCAAAAAATGAAAGAAAAACAATTCCTCCAAAGTAATGGGCATTGTTTAATATTAATGACTGTACACAGAGTTTCAAGATTGTATATTTATCCGGTTGAAGAAAAAACTTGGAACTGTTTGTTGAACAGTATTTGTTTCTTGTACAGCCCACCACAGACAAAAATACAGTCATTGTTGATATTTAGAAAAGCTTTGTTTTGATTTCTTTGTATTTGGTTAGTTTTTAATGCATTTGTCTTTCCTTTGTTCTATCTTACTCTGGTATACGCCTCGCCAGGGTTCTGCTCTTCAGACTTTGGTTTTAAATCAAACCTTTAACAGGAACTTGACAGCATGCATGCAAATGACCAAAGTCCGAAACCACTGCTAAAACGGCCTATGCAGCTACAGCCATCAGGCTGCTATTGTTTTTTTTGGGGGGGGGAGTCGTTGAAGAGGTGGAAAAGGTGGGTTGTCACAATTGCTCCGCTTCGATGGCGAGCGTCCATGGAACTGGTAAGCCTTGGGAGCCATCCTTTGAGGACGTTGAGTGCACTTCAGGTCTGTGCAAAGGGCAGCCTTTGTTACCGAAGAATAGCCAGGTAAATCTCGTGGGGATCCATTAGTCATTTCCTCCCAGACACACGGTGCATTGTCTGTATAAATAAGGTGCTGCTTTGCAATCCTCCTACCACCATCTGAAATGTGCATAGGCCCTGTTGGCTTCACACTGCTTGTGTAGATCATGCTTTCTCTTGATGACTTTACCCTGGCATTCCAGAAGTGAAGAGAAAGCAAATACTTTAAAATTTTGATACCATTATGTATGGTGCTGTGAGTGAAGAATGTGAAATCCCTCAATGACATTTGAAGAGAGAAAAACGTGTTTTAGTCCACAAATTGCAGCACTTTTACAACTTTGTCTTCAAGTAAACACACAGATTCAAGAAGGGTAGTCGATGTCGTAAGTTTGTTTCAGTAATCATATGTTGGATTGTTTGATGGTCTAAATGAATGTTGGCACAGATGAATCAAACAAGATGATGCACTGTTGCAAATACAGAAAGTGTGTGAGAATGTCATTTTCCAATTTCATTTATCACTTAACATTTTATCCACATTTCTATCAGATTTTCTAATCACAGACCTAAAGGTTCCATAAAAAAAAATTGGCCAGGGGAAATGATATCAAACAAGGTTTTGTTCTCATAAATACAATACACATTTTGCGTGGCACTTTATGGTCTTTAATAAAGCAAGTATTTTTTCTGTGGTTAGGCGCCCCATGAAGTTAGTCCCCGATCAGTACCGTGTTGTTGTAAGCATCCAGCAGTTCGCTGGACAGCTTGACCGGCATGTGAACTTTGAGTGGTTTGGTGCTGCATTCTTCCAGGATCCACTTCATGGCCAGGAATCTCTGTCGGCTGGGAGTCAAGGGGGTTGGCACCTGTCAGGAAGGCAACAAGCAAAATGGCAAAAACATTATTGTAACTGATGCTTATGAAAAAGCCTATGTTTTTAGTTAGTAAGACTCCTTTAGTATTTATTTATTTTTTTAGTTCAGGTTTTGGGCATGTTTTTCTGGTCACATGGTGGCTCAGTGGTCCAGCACTGGTTGGTCTCTCATCCCTTGAATGCAAGCTCTACCATACAATGTACCTGCCCTGTTGTGTTATGATGTCTATCTCCTTGGTGAATGCAAACCTTTGGAATGTAGAGTTGGGTCTACTCTTGGGGCCATGGTTTATTTGTGGCAATAAGCAAGGCATTTATCATAAGTATTTCTCTATCCAGAAACAAAGGATCTTAGAACTATTTCAGAGAGCTGAACTGTTTCCAAGGGAGATGATTTTTTTATTAAATAGAGTGGCTTGTTCATCTGACCTGGTAGTTTTTGCCACCCTTCTTCACAACGGCGAGACCCATTAAGGGCTTGCAGTTCTCAATAGCTTTGAGGAAGATCACTCGTGGATTGATCTCAACACTTGACCTCTCAGCTTCGGGGGCTTTGTTGTACTTCACCAACTGTTCTCTTTTCACCTTCTCCAAAGTCTGTATTCAGGGGGAAAGCTTTGTATGATAACAGTTAACCTAAAACCAAAAAAATCATCCATTTTTCCACAGCTCCGTGCTGCAAGTTGCACTATTGTCATGAAATGACAAAAAGCCATGCTATATTGCCAACCAGAAAACAAGCCAAATCAAGCTCGAATAAATTTGTCCGATTAAAATGGACAAAGTCAATACTTATGTATCACTGAGTGTGTAGCAGAATGGTTTGTTTCCGAATGGCCATGTACATGTATTTGAGCGTCTAACCATCATTAGGTCTTCAACAAATGCAGCCAATAGTCACATTCCTTTTGTAATAAATAGGTTACTGGTTAACTAACTAGGATATAGACTTTTTGGTGTTAAAACACATCAAGTATCTATTACCCGAGCATGAAGAACCGCTTTTTGATCAGAGGCAGATCCCAAAATCAGATGTGTGGACCTCTTTTGGTGGTCCAATGTTTTGAGTGAGACCCAGCCCAACTTTCTTTGGCATTGATAGTCTGGCAGAAATCGGTCAGGAGTGGAGGGGGGCTTCATCTTAGCCATTCCTCCCCTGGATGGTTCTGCCACCGATCGGTTCAATCAAGACTGATTAACACTTACCCGGTCCATTATCTTCTTGACGGTTTGCCTCTTGCCCTTCTTGTTCATGATGTTGACGAATTTACTGTAAATGATATGGGCAAAATGCCAGTATCTTGATAATGGTAAAAAGGATACATTCTGCTGAGCTCAACTTTAATTCTGACACATACAGTATAAATACACTACAATAAGAATACCAAGTACTCAAGAGAATTCACACAATCTGCCACGTCCACAGTTGTATCACTCACTTTATCAGTGGATCATAGAAGAGATCTGAGGAGGATATATCACACGTAGCAGCTCTCACTGGCCTGCTGACATCAAGTGGCAGTTGGCCATCTTGGTAAGCTGTCTGGTCCACAACCGGTCTTGCGTAGTATCGTGGATAACGGCTGTGCCTTACTTGAACAAACCTGAAATGAAAGTGCAGTTGAACTCTAGTAACAATAAGCGCAGCTTTTCAATGTTTATTTGTTCCTTTTTAACAGAAACAGTTGAATAGTACTCTGGTAAATGTCGTTTTGTGCATACAAGGTATACACTGGGCCCTGACTTGTCAAATACGTACTGGTGCTTCAAAAGGACATGGCTGTAAGTCAAAAAACTGCACTCAAAAATCACCATGATTTGGTTTAGCATTTATTGCTCATACATGTATGATTAAGTTCCTATTCATGCTGTTTTGGTTAATATGTTGTGGAAACTAGTGCAGAGTCAGAACTGTGCTTATGTCCATGGCACTCTGTATCATCTGGATTTGGAAGGGCTTACCAACTCCATGCAAAGGCTAAGTGACGATGAATTTTAGCCGGGGCTCTCTCCAATCAGTAACTCATTTTTTACTGAGGAAATTATGATTGAACTGTGCCTTTTCCTACCCTGTACTATTTACACATAAATGTAGAGGTATAACATTCACTTAACTTCCACTTTCAGAAGTTTTGAAATCACCACTGCATTCAGCATTTTATTCATTGAAATAAAGCACAAAGACTTCTACAAAATGTGAATTTACCACATTTGTAAAAATCCATCACTTATTTATGTACAAATTAGTCATAATTTGCTCTGCATTTCACTTTTAATAAAATAAACTCAGCATCTCAAACAATATCTACCTGCATAAAATACATTTTCTTTGTCGATGCTATGTTGCAGATTAATCGATGGAATCCAACCTTACATGTGTACCAACATGCTTCTTTCGACTTACCCTCTAATGTCTTCTTCAAAGAACAAAAAATGTATTGAAAAAATTATCAGCCTCCCTATTGCAGGCCCATATATACGTGTACTTTTGTGGCAATGTACACGTAACATCGTACATTACTGTCACCGTGCATATAGCCTAGCCTAGGGCCTAGGCTTACATCATATACATACATGTAAAATCAGGCCTAGGCCAGTCAGCGTAACTAGGACCCTAGGTACGACCCCAACATTTGGATATGGTCGGCAGTACTATCGCCAACCATGTCCAAATGTCAAGAGGTGGTTCTTAGAGTCTAGTTATGTACTTGGACATGTCAGGCCAGGCCCAGGCTAAGGCTTAGCATGCTGGGGTCTCTTAGAAAAACAATGTTTGGCTGTAAGCCAAGGTCATTCAGGTAGACTAGCGGAACCCACATGACCTAAGCTATGAGAACTTTACTAGCAAGATTCATGGACCCAGATATTGGTGGCGCTATTCTTGATATGCTGTTTTTTAATCTTGTTGTGTGACCTTTGATTTTGACCTTGATCAATACCAAAGGGTACTTGTATGAAGAATGACGTGATTTGCATAACCCATGGAGCTTAATTGACTTTAAAAACCTTGAATTTGCCGTAAAACATTTTGCCAAAAATATTTATTCGACTCACAAAATCACATGGCGACATTAACAGAAATCCCAATTTCAGAAAAATAGGCCTATTACTGAATATCTTTACATGCACCTTGATTTCATTTTTTCATCTTGTTTGATTTGATTTGCATTAATTAAAGAAGAAAACTGAAACATGTGGTGGTTATTATTACTAATTACCTTGCACATTATCATCAGTTCAAATGCACCGTTCCAATGTGGGAGGGGGGTGCTGAGAGTCCCCAGGGTTGGGAGAAATTCTGGTTCACTCCCCTTCCTACAAATTCCAACGCCACATTGTATACGAAATACAGATATTTGAAATTGTATGTTATATCATGATACATATCTTATAAATTGTCTGAAGATGCCAAAAGGTCACAAGTATGCAAATGTGTATACTTTTGTGCACATATATTTTATAACTGCCATTCCAGTTTCCTTATGGAGGTGGGAAATCTACCTTTTGAAAGCAATTTAAAGCCTTCTGAGAAAGACATTATATTAAAAATAATTTGAACATTGTGAAATTTCCATGAATCTAGCTAACTTTACATTACAAATCCAAAAGATCTTAAGTTATAGCCATGCGATCCTGAAATGTATTTCGATGACAATTCAACATCATCAATAAAGGGAAAGAGTTCCATATACAGACAACAATTGATGCCTCTGTCCACAAACCTATGAGACTTGTCTGAAAAAACGTGATTTCTACTAAGACTAAGGGTTTGAGTCTAATTTCTGTGGCGGAAAGTGTACGCACTTTCTTAAATTTGTTTGTGCATAACAATGAGGACTGCATTACCAGTGTAGTGTGTATGTGTCCTGTGATGTATGCAGGATGGGTGGAGCATAGCGCTCTGTGTATGTACATGTAGTAAGCTCACTGGTTTGCGTGTGATCAATGTGAACATTTAGGCAGTGCAACACTGAGGTGTGCACTGCAACTTGGGTCCAGTGTTGATAATTGGTCGAATGTTAGTCAACATTGGACATAGTGTTCATTCGAAGCGACATTAGTCAGTGCATTGCTGATTGGTGCAACACAGTGCAATATTACTCGCTGTACATTGCTTATCTCTCCTCAACACCATACAAAGCAATACAGGTTGTAATAAAGATTTACCCAATACAAATTATCTCTAATCATTTAATAAATTAATTACTTGTGAATGTTGAAATAAATTGTACTGTTGTTGAGGTTATCAGCAATCTCAATTGTCGGGTGTACTTCTTGTTGTGTATTGTCGAATTGGCAGAGAGCATCACATTTATTAATTGGCAGTATATTTCCACCAAAACGTATCTGCTTCCTCAAGGAGGAACCAGAGTTTAGGCTCGAGTCAAGTTTCAGACTTGACCCCTCAAACTTAGGTTAGGCCTGGGGAAACATCCGCCACACTTCTAAGTAGGCCCTGGGGCTGGCCTAACATCAAGCCTAAATGCTCTGGAATTTTCTTAGGCTTAGGCTTGGCTAAATTTGACTTTTCAGAACATGTTATCGTTTTCTGAAGGCTGTTACTTGTGTTAGGATAACATTTAAGGGAAAATTAGAGTTGTCCGTATATAGAACTCTTTCCCAATAAAGTTCTACCAAGATTGTCTACAGTATTTTGTACAGTCAGTCTAGGGCTAAAATTTATAGGGCTACACATTAGTTAATTCTGTCCGGAAATTGGACAGATGCATATCGGATAGCTGCAGCTGCTACTAGTGCTACTGCTAGGGCCTATGTGCACTCGAGCAGTTCACGCTACTCTAAATCAATTCGAGAAAATAAGTGTTTTCCATCTTAATGATGTTAATTCGCGAATAACATCTTACCCCGGTATCCAAACGCCATAACTAGCTTCCGACAAACCCAACTTCAAGAATCCTCGACTTGAACCCATGGGCAGCGCCATGTTTGTCTGCATTCATCATCAGTGATTTGTGATCCAATCACAAGACAGGGAAAAGTCCGCAGTACTGAGGCTGCGCACATTCTGCAGCAACGAAGACAACGTAAATAAATATGGCGTCGGGTGAGCTCAGGAGGTGAAGAGCTCCCCTTTGGAATCCATTCATCCTTGCTTTATGAAGCTCCATATAGCTATAATTTTCTCATGTGGAGATAGCTAAATGGTTGCTTAGATCATCCAGAGTATTTTGGCGTGATTTGAGGCAGGTGAGCCGGTAAGAGTCCACTTCATATTTGGCACTTCAATCGTTTTCGAATGCTCCTGGAGGCCCTTTTAAAAGCCATGTTTATTAATTTACAGCTGTTGGGGTGAACACCCACGATGAATCATTCACTCCGACGCAAGAAATTTTGATCCGTGTTTCTTCCTCTTTGTCCACAGGAATGGAGCTCCGAGTTGGTAACAAGTACCGACTAGGACGTAAGATTGGAAGTGGATCTTTTGGGGATATTTATTTAGGTTTGTTGATTTTCTTTTTAAAAATTTGATTGAATATTATCCCACTAATATAATTATAACGTAACTCTCTTACAATGACTAGTGATTTCATGACATCTGATTTGTCATTCACATTATCCTACTGACAAATGTCGGTTTCAGTGACATCTACCAACAAAGGTCAGTTCAAATTTGGAATTGACAGACAGAAAGACTAATTGCTGCATGAAACCCTTGTTGTTCTTGCTAACCAGTGAAATGCTCCCCATTTCATTTTAATTTTTTAAAAAATCTTGTCAATTTGGGTGCTTTTGGTTTTGGACCTTGGCCCTATGCTAAAACTGATAACTGTTGAAAGAGTTTTTCCGTGTGTTCGTGTAAAACCCTGAGAAGGAGGTGGTGTGTTATTCTGTTTCGAGAACAGTAATCTTGAGTCCTGTTCCCGCCATTCGAGCGTGAGAACAAGAAACCTTTGTCAAAAACACGCTGCCCGAACTCGACCCATGTGACTTAGGGGCATTGTTATTCTCATGGGGTTGTGATGCTATGGTTTTTAACCCTCCTATGCTGAAGTCACTCTTTGGGTCACTTGGTAAACACCTCAAAGAAGTACAGCTGTGTTGTGTTGTGCACTGCACCAACATGCAAGAGAGTGACCTTGGGCACTTGTGCATATTTGTGCTGTAAAACCAAAGGAGGGTTTATACAGTTTTTGCGCTGAAGACCTGGTAATGCAAAGAAGTTCATTCCCTCTTTGTCTACACATGGATTGAAATGGGCCTCTGCCCGAAATGGAACTACATGTGCAGGGTAATGCCATAAAACATTACCTTGTGACTTGCAATGACATAAATGGAAAGACCTTTCAGTTGGAGTCAATTGACATTATTGGTCTTTCAGCAATTGGTACATGTTTAGAAATTTTAACAAAGTTTGTGGAGGCAGAGCCATACACATTCATCGTGTACCGCTACCTTCTAATATTAATAATTGAGCTCAGCCAGTTGATGCTTATCCCATCATGACTGTTTTTGTGAGGGTTGATGATAAACCCCTTTATGCTATGGTAATCACGGTCTTACATGTACAAAGATGGTGGTTGTTGGTAATTCCAATCTGTTAAGTGACAGATGTCTTTCCAAAATTCTGCCCTAAATTTTTCCAAACTTTACTTGGCTGAAGGCAAACTCAGTAACCAAATTCCTTAAGTAGTGCCTCGACAGAACAAGTACATGTACAGTGGAGCACAAATAACACGAGCATGCTTGAGACGAGGTCGCACTTAAGATGAGCGTATTTCTTCAGTTCCGTTCAAAATGTACGCATTCCTATGAGACAAAACTTACTTAATACGAGCTGTGCCAAGATGAAAATACGGACAAGAGGAGCGCTTTTGCCTAACTGGCATAGTCAAAACCATTGTCCATGGCATTTTTAATACGAGTACAATTGAAAAGCGTCTTCAAAAGCGTAACCCAAGTAAGTAATTCCTGATGGAGCGCGTCAGTAGTTCTCCAAAAATGCTAATCCACTCAGCAATTTGTGCTGCAGTTTTGCCAACAATGACTTAGCAACTCTGTACCTTGTGCCACTAGAGGGGGCTTTATTCTATACGACAATAGGTGTTGTGATGTCGCGGCATCAAAGCAGTTTTGATCACAGCGGGTCTGGTCCGAAAGGTTTTTTTTTGTTTTGTTTTTTTAGCCGAACATGAACAATTATGGGTGAACCTGACTTGAAAATAGATCCCTCCCTCCAGTTACCAATGGAAATTCCCCATTTTCAATGCCCTCTTACGCCTGGTCCTTTTATGAACTGGTTCCTTAATTAAACCTTTACTTACATGTACGTGCAACGTCGGGTACCAGTTTCCAAGGAGTGCTTTGCCTGGCCACGCCGCGTGCACGTGGCGCAGGCAGGGTGGCCGGCCAGCCAGCCAGTGTTGTGTCAAACAAGTAGACGTTTTTGGAATCATTGTTTTATTCATTCGAATTGTATTTATTAATATGATTTAAAATTTATTTAATTAAGTTATAAGGCTGTATATCGAATACTAATCCACTGCATGTACATGTAGTATGCAGTACATGTACATTGCCGCGTACATGAATGCTTGCTGGTGCATGACGCCAGGCTTGCGCTCTATGAATGGGATAATTGTCAACATGTATAACATGAGGTTTACCGTAAGACGAGGTTTTTTGGAGAGTCCCTTCGAGCTTGTATTAAGCATGTTTGACTGTATCCATAAATGCAAATCAGAATTTCCCTGTCCCAAACCTTGAAAATGGCATTTATTTTCATCTCTCTTTAAAAGCCAATTTGGACAAATACTAGGTTGCAGAAGCAATACCTACTATACATGGATTGATACACCTGCATGCTATGACTTACCCACTTCAAATACATTTTTGGGGATTTTAAAAATTTTTTTATTAAAAGTCTGATAAGAAGTACATGTATTAAGTTTAAATGAGCCCAAGAAACATCCCATGACTTCTTTAACAAATTCACAGATACCTAAAACAGTTTAGCCATTCCTACTTTTGGTCAAGAACCCAGCCCTCCTTCATCGTCCAAAATCCTTCGGGCGTTTTTGAAGGATTTTGAAGGATTGAGGGTGAATGGCAAAAGTGCATGGCTGATTGCCAAGGATGCCATGAGTTAAGGTCGTGGTTATACCTTGTGTTGTTGTTGCTTAGTCATGTATAAATTCAGCCTGATATGTCTTTTGAATCAACCGCACTGCTCAAGAATGCCATTCACACTGCCTCAACACAATGACAGGAATTGCCGGAGGATTGTGAAGGATTGATGCAGTAGGCACTCCTCCAAGTAACATTTTGAAGAAATTTTGGAGGATTTAGGGAGAATCCAATTTTTTTACCCCATAAATTGGGGGATTCTGGAGGATGGAGGAGATTCCCTAGCAAAAAGGCCGTAGGGGGTTAGGGTCAAATGATTGATAAACACCAGCTGGCTCATTATGTTCTGTGCCACCATAGCAGTACGCACCATGCGTGCCCAAATCTCCATGTAAGGAGATTGGAATACGACTGTTTGTAACAGGCACATGTACCATCACATTGCTAAGAGGCATATTTTAAACAAATGAAGTAAACTTGTTCATCAAAACCATTTCAAACTTGGAATTTTCAAAACCTGTTCTGACTTACTGACTCGAGAGGAATTTATGAATTGGAATAGCAGGTTGGGCATTGTTACAATTAGCACGTCACAATTATTTTCCTTTCAAAGATACATTTCTGTAAAATATGCGCAGAGAGTAAAGATGGGGGTACAACATGTCTATTTCATTCTTCAAGCTGAGAACTTTCTTGTCAGTACAGTTCTCTTGTTTGAGTTAAGTCCGGTACCTTACATTTCAACAAATGCTAGACTTTCTTTTTAAACCTTACTGTTCCTTGAAACTTCTGTCAAGTAAAAAAGGAACACTTTGTATGGCTATGATTGCACTACACTAAATACCCCCGTACGCGCCCATGGTTGCACGCAACCCTTTAAACAGGAAAAAATTATTTGGTAGCCTTTGGGAAAAATGTAGGCGCCTGCTTTTTTATGAAATTTTAGTAATCATGTGTGCTGAATATTCATGAACATACGTACAAACGTGTAGTGCAAATACCTTGTATTTACATCATCCATCCATGCTGTAGAATCATGACCCGGCCTGGCACACGTACATGTATACCACACAATGTGCATATACATGTACATGTATGTACGTACACAAGCGCTGATGAGGTAAATCCACGAAATCAAGGGGTTTCAGGCATGGACATTATGACGTCTGTAGTTTCAGCATGTCGCAGGACACCCTGCTACGTAAATCATGCTGACACTCAAAATCACAGCGACACCATTTAATTTCGGAATGAGCTCCATTTCAGGCTTCATTTACGCTGCAGCAGAAATGGAACCCAAGCCACGGTTTATAAAATGGTCCTGGTGTCCGTATACAATGTATCAACAACGTATGGTTAGATCTGGAACTAACCAACACTGCCTCTTTTCCCATGCTTGCAGGCCGTGTGTGTGATCGCAATACATACGGTTACCGGTAGCTTTAAATTCACTATGCGACTTGCGCTGCCATTCATTTACCTTTTCAGCATGAATTTTGAGAACATACAGTAATCATTGCTTTTTTTATTTTTAAGCGTACTCAAAATTGTTCAAGTACATTTTTTATGTAGCTTTTAAGCTATCTTAGGCCACAAATGACAACTTTATGGTGAAAATATGATTGTATTGGCAAAAATTTGGTCGCATTTGCAACTGATGTAGGCGTTATTTAAAGCATTGGTGTACGACACTAAATACGCACCCATAGAATACAGTGCAAACTCGGACAGAAAAAGTGCCTGGTGACTCTCAAGGAGAGGTTGACCTGTTTCCATTTGGAAATTCAAGATTATGGCCAGAAGTTCACTTTCCGTTTCAATTTTACCGAGATTAGCCATGCAAATTATTCGCCCTTGTCAAAAACACTTCCAAAATACATGTAGGAGTAAAACTATGCTATCAGCTCTCAGTCTAGCCACCCGCTCCTATGCAAAATAGACCTACAGGTTGGAGGTTTTTGTGAACGAAATACACCGAGTTGGATGCTAGAAGTCCCAAATTCGTGTTTGATGATGGCACCTCTTTTTGTAAAATCCCAATGGGATCACAAAATATTAACCCTAACAGTCCCAAATCCTCCAATTTCAATACGAATTTACGTACACCCTAGGGGGTTAGGGTTAATGAGTTCATGTGTAGAAATCTACATGTACCCATTTAGAGCAATGCTTCCCCTTAGAAAACAGTGCAAAATTGGAAAGAAATAGCCCATGTAGTGACTTTTAGAAAGAGGTTGGCCTCTTTTCTTTCGCTGGAAATTCAAGATTACGACCAGAAGGTCATTTTTCTTTTTTATTTCATGAGGATTAGCTATGCCATTTTGTTTTATTCACCTTGCCCCAAAATGTTCGCCCAAATAAAAGTTAAACTACCCA